TGTGGATAGGGGCGGGGCAGTCAGAGGGCAGGGAACATGGGGGCAGGGACTGGGGGGGACAGTCAGGAAGGAGGGGTTGGATGGGGCAGCGGGGGGCAGTCAGGGGTGGAAGGACTGGGGGTGGTCAGGGGATAGGGGAACAGGGAAGGGAGAGGATGGGGCAGGAGTCCCGGGGGGACCGTCAGGGGACAGGGAGGGTGGGATGGGGCAGGAGTCTGGAGGGGCCATCAGGGGGCAAGAAGCAAGGGTGAGGGGGTTGGATAGGGGGCATTGGCTGGGCCATGCCTGGCTGTTTGGGGAGGCACAGCCTCCCCTAACCGGCCCTCCATACAATTTTGGAAACCTGATGTGGCCCTCAGGCCAAAAAGTTTGCCCGCCCCTGCCCTAGACATTTCACAAACAAATCAATTAAAAAAGTTAATCAGCAAGGCATTTATGTGTACAAGTAACTACTCATCTGTGGTATGCAAATGTGTGTTTTCCATGTGCAATTAGTCATCTGCTTGCACGTGCACGTGCCAGTTTTGCTGGCACAGCTCAAGAACAGCCCTTGGGAAATGTAAAACCTCTAAAGCTGGGAGATTTCCGGGCACACTGTAGTTTGGGAATGGATGGCCGTGGGCGGGAGGGCTTAGATGAGCCACATCACCCATGCCAATTTCAACAGTAATACGAACGAGGGGTACCTGTGGCATCTTAAAGAATAACAAATCTTTTTGAGCATAAACTGTGGGTTCTAGCCCAGGAAAACTTATGCTCAAATACATTTGTTAGTCTCCAAGGTGCCACAAGGACTCCACGTTCTTTTTGCTGATACAGACTAACACGGCTCCCACTCTGATTCACCCTGGAAAGCGGCGGCAGCGGTAACCCTGAAGAAAGGCCCCTGATCTGCCCCTTCCTAGAGGCCAGGCGCGTTCGGCTCTGGGACGGGGCTAGGTAGGGTGACCAGACAGCAAATGTGAAAAATCGGGACAAGGGTGGGGGATAACAGGAGCCTATATAAGAAAGAAGAACAGGAGTACTTGTGGCACCTTAGAGACTAACAAATTTTATAAGAAAAAGACCCTAAAATCGGGACTGTCCCTATAAAATCGGGACATCTGGTCACCCTAGGGCTAGGCCAGCCCGTTACAGAGCTGCCCTGATCAGACCCAGCTCTTCGGAGCTGGGGTTTGTGTTTCAGGCTCGTCTCGAGTTACAACTTCTTTATGCTGCGGCTGAGAGCAAAGACATCCCCTCCCAGCAACCCCGCGCACCCGGCCGCGTCGCTGAAAGACGACGACTCCAAGGGGGGGAGCTCCCTCCCCTCGGCCCTGGTGCCGTCAGTCACTCTGGCC